TGTAATCTTCTTAGTTACAATGAATTTTTCGCAAAAGCATTTACAAGTAAAGTACGTATCAAAAATCAGTACAGTTTCAATTCTTCTGCCGCTGGGTGGAAACAAAGGATAGATCGTTTTTAAAAAAAAAAAAAAAAAAGAATATCAAAATAAGAAATTCAGTTTTGCACCACATTAAATTAAATACTTGCTCCCGTTATTTTCAATGTTGTTATTTCTTTTATAGAGAAAAATATCAATTAGATTTTTGAAAACACATACAATACTGTATCATAGAAAAAAATTTGAGCTAAATTCTTCCATTAAAGAACTTTAGGAGAAATTGATGGAACTTAGAGATAATTGATGAGATCAATAAATATATTAACTATTATCTTTCAAACATCCTATCAACTCAAATTTATGAAGTCCCTAACTAGAGCTAAAAGACAAATTGTACACCATATACTCATCTATTGATATATTGTATGTTGAAATTAAATTTGTACATTAACTAAAATATGTTATATAAAATAATAAAAAATAATTTGTCATATTAAAGGCAATACACTACTACACCAATGAAATTATATATTTCAAATGTCATGAAATTTTTTTATTTGCGATCGTTTGAGCTAAATTCTATTATTAGAAAAACTTTATCATATAACAAATAATAAATATTATCTTCCAAACATTCTAACAACTCAAATTTATTGTATAAAAAGATGAAACTTCACATTTAATGTACAAGTTGTATAAATAATAATAATAATAATAATAATAATAATAATAATAATAATAATAATAATTAAATAAATAGATAATATACTTCCAAAATCACACATCCTTATATTTATCTCGTACTTTCTCCTATCATAGTCTCACTTCAGTAATCATTCTCGACAACATTGTCACATTATTGTTGGGTCTTTCCAAGGGGCTAACAATAGAAGACATTAGGTCATGAATCTTTCTCATTTATAAATTATTCAACTTTCTCATTTCTACCTAATGTAAAACTTCAAACTCACTTGAATTTTCAACAATTACTTACCCTATCAATCAAAGTTTTAAAATCACCACCTACAAATCTTGGTGTAGTCATAACTATCTTATGACATCAATTAAATGGTTGTTGTTGTTACTTTATGTTGTTATTTATTTCATAGATGAAAATATCGGTCATATATTGAAAAATGTAAAGTTCTATAGTTTATCATTCTTGTTGACAAAGATAGATCAATGGACCTTTAATTGCAATAAATTGAACTAAATTCTTCAATTAAAAAATATATTAAATAAGAAACTGACATTTGAGATACAATTGATAAATATATTATATATTCTTTTTTAAACTTCTCATCAACTCAAATTTATCATAATAAATGAAATTTCGTAAGACAAATCTTATGCCATGACACATTTATTGATATTGTGTATTGAAATTAATTTTATACGATAATTTAGATAGGTTATCTAACAATTTTTCAACATGGCACATATAAGATGTATACAAAATATGGAATTAATTTTACAAAATAAATTAAATATCTCGTAATCTCAATTTCTTTAAAATAAATGGAGTTATAAAATAAATTTTATGGTATAGACTTTGTATTTTGATCTTATTTTTCTTCAAATGGAATTATAAAATAAATTTTATGCTATAGACTTTTTATATTGATATTATTTGTATACATTGAATCTAGATAAAAAAAAATTAAGAGAGACCGTACAAGATTACAATATAAAAATAGATATCTCAAATTAAATAGAACAATTCAAAACTGATATGAAAGAAAATTTGTAATTAGCAAGACTGGGGATTTAATGGAAACATGAATGAAATAGATGTTACTACCAGGAAATTGACCACTTACATGAATATATAAAATATTCACCTTGAACATATCATAATTTTAATTTGATGATAAGAATTATAAGCACAAAATGTATCCATATATACAAAATGGACTTTTCACAACACTTAATTCTCATCAAACCAAAAAATAATTGACTTAAAAAAAAAGTGGTATTTTTTGTAAATAAGGGACGCTACTCTTATATCGAGTGATTCCCTAACCGACATAAAAAGCGGTTTTTACATTGGTCCTTATGAAGTCCGACGTAAAAGTCGCATTTTAATCGCTCAAGGGTTTTTTTTCTCCTACGCATGAGGGTTTTCAAGTGACGATGGCGGCATTTACCAAATCAGCTCCTCTCAAGGTATATTTCAACCATAGTGAGTGAGATTTCTCTTCGATTGAATTCGAGTTCTAGAGCGTTTTTTTATATATTTGATGTTAGTGTTGTATGTCTTCTTTTTTATGTTGAAATTGAATCGATGATTGTTTTTTAGGATCTCAATCACATTATTGCATTAATGTCTCCATTGGATTGTATATTAAAATTGAATTGCTATAGATTATGATTATTCATTTATGTGTTTAAGTGAATTTATGGTTTATAAACTACATTTTTATGTTTTCACGGTTTAGTTGTTTGAATCCCACATTTTTTGTTATTTGTATATTAATTATATAATAGTAATGAGTAAGTAAGAAAGAAATGATATGGTATGATGTGAAGAGAAGATATTATAGTATATATAGGGTTTAGGGTTTTATGATGATGAAAAGAAAACAGAAAATACTTGAAGAAGGATAAGTTTTGACTCAGATGTCGGATTTGAAAACTTCTTTAAAAAAATCATTGATATTTTCATATATGAAAAATATAACAATATTTTCTATAATAAAATACAATAATAGTTGAGACTTCATGAATTACGATATCATTAACTAAAATATTGTGATATCATTGACTAAAATCTTGTTAAAGGAAGAACAGTCTTACTAGTGGCGAAGGAACTAATTTGATCTTTTACACGGACTATTAGGGATGGAAAAATGGATCAATCCATCCATTTTTTGCCTATCCTACTCTTAGGTCGTAAAAAATGAGACAAGATGAGTTGACCCGTTATACTCGAAGCGGATTATAGACTCCAACTTGTCCCGTCAAAGAGTGAACTAACGGGCCAACAAGTCAACTCGCCAATAATTTTTTTTTATATGTATTTTTTAAAATTTATATCTTTAATTATATGAATAATTTTCAAGTTTTTATTTATTCACTACAAGAAAATCATTAATTATCGACGGATATGTAGTCGTCGGAAAATGAGTGATTATCGACAAAAATTACCAACGATTTAAAGTATTTGTAGAATTTGGTCTTACTAATGGATATATCGGTCAGTAAATGAACAATTAATTAGCAAAGGATATATCCATTGGTAAATTAACAATTTTGATAAATTAACAATTAGTTTCCAATGGATATATCCGCTGATAAATTAACAATTTTTTTCCGATGGATATATTCATCGATAAATTAACAATTAGTTACCGACGTATATATCCGTCGATAAATATTTAAAATATATAAATATATTTGTATTTATATATTTTATATTTATATATTTACACAGATATACATTTATTTATATATAAATATAATTTATTTGTAAATTATTATCAAAAAACTATAGTAGCTTAGCGGTTGCGGTATTAGCCTCCAATTCTAAGATATCAATAACACAATTTTTGCCTGTCGATAATCACCGATGGATTTTATCCGTTGAAAAATCTAATTTTTCTTGTAGTGATTAGTTAATATTTTATTAGATAAATAGAAATATTATATTTATGTGTTAAAATAACTAATTATAATCAATAATTTAAATTTAATTAATTAATTTTTATAATTTAAATTATAATATATTTACATATTTAATATAATACAAAAAATATAATATTTTTAATCATATTTTTTTATTTTAATTTTAATATATACTTTTTTTTAAACAAGTTAATCTATCCAGTTCTATCCTTGACCTACTAAATTAGTGAGTTAATCGAGATCAAAATGGACTAGCAACTAAAATCACCATCTCACCCACCGTTTTCCTATCCCTGCATGTTATCCATGCAACACAGTGTTTGTTAGTGATGGCAGGCCGGATGAACTACACGCATAGTTTCACCTCTTCCAAAACTTTGTCCTTCCCGCTAAATAATGTCTACTAAACTAGTTATTCATGAAAAGTGAACAAAACATATCATTTACATAATAATTGGTTAGATTGAACTAGACTATAATTTTAAAGTTTGTTTTTTTTTTATTTAAATGTAATTGTTATTATTATTTCCTGAATTCATAGGAAACCTATAGCAATCTTAATTTTAGATTATGAACTGGTTTAAAGATTTTGACATATCGAACTAAATTAGACATAAAAGTAAAATATAAATCATATTTTTAATTTGTTTATGTTCGTTGTTAACTGTAGGTCAATTGCATTTCTATAAACGTAAGGTCTCGCTTGTGTTTGATAATACTATTTAAATTAATTTAAAATATTTATTATTGTAGTGTAATATATTAGGTAATCCAAATATGAATCTAAGTTCCATATTGAGTAAGAATCAGAATGTTGAGTAACATATAAAGAAGAAAAACTTATAATCCAATGCCTTAAGGTTTTCGATTGAAAATGATCTTAATCCCTTATGTAGGTTTGACTCATGTCTCATTGATATTGTTTCTTGTAGTGATAGTTTATGTGGTGATCGACAATTTAAGAGTGGTGTCTCCTTATTTCTTGATATTTTATTTTTGGTGCACATTAACATGTATCTATTACATGATGTTTTTGGAGCCTATTGTCATTCATAAGGGGGAAAAGAGATTTTTTGGGTTTTGCTTTCTCATGCTATAATTTTGGTATCTTCCCCAACAATTGGTATTAGAGCTCCTGTTAAGGGTTCTAGTTTGTGCTCTGAAAATGACAAATAATGATAATGTTGGAACAATGATTAAGTTGGATTCTTCCAATTACTCTATGGAAATCTCGAATGAAAGATTATTATTTTGCAAAGACCTATATGATTCTATTGAGGAGAAAGTTATTAAACGAGAAGATAATCTGAAGGAGATTGGAATAAGTTAAATAGGTTCTAGTTTGTGCTCTGAAAATGACAAATAATGATAATGTTGGAACAATGATTAAGTTGGATTCTTCCAATTACTCTATGGAAATCTCGAATGAAAGATTATTATTTTGCAAAGACCTATATGATTCTATTGAGGAGAAAGTTATTAAACCAGAAGATAATCTGAAGGAGATTGGAATAAGTTAAATAGGAAGACTATTGGTATGATTAGACAATGAATAGACCAATTTGTTTATCATCATGTGTCTAGTGGGACTTTGACTTACAACTTATGGAAGAAATTAAGTGATTGTTTGAGTTTAAAAATTGCTTGAATAAGACATTCCTGATTAGGACACTTGTAAATTTAAAATACAAGGATGGTTGCTCTATGGCAAAACACTTGAGCAACTTTCAAAATATGTTGAATAAATTAATCATCATGGAAATCGGGTTGGATAATGAGCTACCTGCAATGTTGTTGCTTGTCTGATTACCAGAAAGTTGGGAGATATTAGTGGTATCTTTGAGTAATTCTACTCCTAATGAAAAATTTACTTTTGACATGATCAATGATAGTCTTTTAAATGAAGAAACTAGGAGGAAAGGAAGTTGTAAAGTTAACTCATTTACTTGAAATGAAGCTTTGGTTATGGAATCAAAGGGGAAGAAATCAATATAGAAATTCTCATAGATTTTATGACCATAACAAGTTAAAAGGAAAGTCAAAAGAAAAGAAAAAAAATCACATGTTTACATTGCAACAAATTAGGACAATCAAATACTGCAAGCTCCTCAAGAGCGAAAGATCAAGAGATAGAAACAAGAGTAATAATAATAAAAGAGAAAATAAAGATAAAGACATTATTGCAATTGTATCTAATGGTGAAGTTTTTATTATTTATGATGATGAATATGTTAATCTCACTTGTCAAGAGTATGAATGGGTTGTTGATTCTATTGCCTCATTTCATGTTACACCTTATCATAAATATTTCACATCCTACACTGTTGGAAATTTCGGGCATGTGAAAATGGGAAATCAAGGGGTAAGCAAGGTTGTTGGCATTGGAGATATTTGGATAAAGACTAATACTAGATGTAAGTTGCATTTGAAGAATGCCAGACACATCCCTGATATACACCTCAGCTTGATCTCAATACAAGTACTTGATGAACATGGTTATCATAATAATTTTAGTGATGGAAAATAGAAGTGCACTAAAGGAACATTGGTGGTAGCAAAAGGAGAGAAACAGAATACTCTATATTGAGTTGAACATTCAAGGACTTGATGTTGCAAATAATGATCATGAAGAATGTTGATTTTGATGATGATCCAAGAGCTTAAAGACTTAGAGTATTGAAGATTAAAGATTGATGATTTCTGTATTAAGAACAACCTTTTCCATACAAAAGTTAAGTGTTGTGAGTGCCAGAGAACTGTTTGTTGCAAGGAAAGGGGGCTTTCTGAACCTGGTGTGGGCTAGAAGCGATAAGAATCACTAAGTGGAGTTCTTAGTGGATTGTGTGTTGTGCCGTCTCTGGGAAAAGCTGTTCTTCATCTCTTGGGGCTTTCTGAACCTGGTGTGGGCTAGAAGCGATAAGAATCACTAAGTGGAGTTCTTAGTGGATTGTGTGTTGTGCCGTCTCTGGGGAAAGCTGTTCATCATCTCTTGTGGATTTCAAGAGAGGTGTTATCTTTATCTTTATCTTGTCAATTGTAATCTGTTGTAACAACTTGTTCTTAGTGACAGCGTTAATCCTCTTTTGAGTGATTAGCAACTGGACGTAGGGTCTTTTGATCCGAACCAGTATAAACCTACTGTGTAATCTTCTTTACTCTTCTCTATTTACATTTACGCAGTTTTTAATCGGTAAAATTTTGGGAAAATTTTGAAAACCTAATTTTTATTAAGAAACCAATTCACCCCCCCTCTTGGTTTTTGTCCGACCACGCGAACATTCCGCTGCGCGATTCTAACAAGTGGTATCAGAGCTTGCTTTGATAGTCATTCAAATTTTCAAAAATGGCCGGACAAAATCAAACTTTTGCCGAAGGTGCGTCTATCAACAGACCCCCACTTTTTGCGGGTCAAAATTATCCTTTTTGGAAGGTACGTATGCAAATATTTTTAGAGTCTGTTGATAGAGGCGTTTGGGACGCTATTTTAAACGGTCCATTTGTTCCTAAAACTACTGAGAACGGTGTTGACGTTCTTAAACCTTTTTCTAGATGGACTGCAGATGAAAGTCGAAAAGCACAATTTGATGTTAGGGCTAGAAACATTATTTCATCTGCTCTAACCCTTGATGAGTTTTATAGAATTTCAGTTTGTAAAAGTGCACAGGAAATGTGGGAAATGCTAAGGGTGACCCACGAAGGAACTGACGACGTCAAAAGAGCATGTAAAAATTCTTTAATCCAAGAATACGAGATGTTCCGGATGCAACAAGGTGAAACGATATTTGACATACAAAAACGTTTCACTCATATCGTGAACCATCTCACCGGACTAGGTAAAATTTTTGACGTTGATGAATTAAATGTTAAAATTTTGAAATCTCTGGATAGGAAATGGCAACCTAAGGTGACGGCCATCTCGGAGTCACAAAATCTTGCCACAATGTCCATGGCGGCGTTATTTGGAAAGCTAAGGGAGCATGAGCTTGATCTTGGAAGGCTAAATGAGGAAGAGGGTCAATATCAAAAGAAGAACCTAGCTTTCAAGACCGAGATTTCAAAAGGCAAAAATAAGAAAGAAGAAGAAGAAGACTCCGAAAATGATGAAGAAGAGATGAGTCTTTTCATAAGAAAATTCACCAAGTTCATGAAAGCAAAAGGAAGACATCCTTTCAAAGGTAAGGGAAAGGTAAAAGAAAATTCTTCCGTTAATATAAAATGCTATGGTTGTGGTGAAGCAGGGCATATGAAGACCGAATGCCCAAACAAGAAAAATGATGAACATAAGGGCAAAAAGCAATTCAAGAAGAAAGCCTATATTGCTTGGGATGACGAGTGATTCAAATTCGGGATCAAGCGACTCGGAGATAGAAGCAAACATTTGCTTGATGGCAAATGACAACATATCATCTGATTTTGAGGTTAGTGATTCCGATTCATCCTCTAGTGATGAAAATGACCATGATGAATTGCAAAATGCTTATAATGAGTTATTTACTGCCTTTAAGAATATGAAAGACGAATTTAAAGTTGTAAAGAAGAACCTAAGAAGATCCGAAAAGGAAAATGAGTCATTAAAAATGAAAATTGCATGTTTAGAAGAAAAGGAGGTAGCCAATACGAAAATTGTATGCTTAGATGAAGATAAGGACTTAGCATGTGCAAATTGTAAAGAGCATGAATATCACATAGATATTCTTAACCATTTGCTTGACAAAGCCGAAAAAGAAATTGATGATCTTAAGAAGCATGAAATGGGAATTGCTCAAAATAATGTAAATCAAAGAGTTCCTTTGAAAAAGAGTAAAACTAAAAAGAAAAGAGTATGGGTAGAAAAAGGATCTAGAGCATGTTTGGTAAATAATGCATCTTATTCCATAGCTACATCAAAAGCATGTTTTTATTGTATGAAACAAGGTCATACCTCAAATAGATGTAAAATCAAACATTTTGGTGTTCCTAAAGGAAAATATATTTGGGTTCCTATAGTTAAATGAATTGTTTGTCTCTTTTATTTATTCAAAGAAAATGGATCATTTAGTATGTTTTAAACAGAATGCTTAGGTAAAATCATTTTATCTTTTCTACTGCATGAAGGTTCTTCACTTAAAGATTTTGCGAATTGCCTATAAAATCGTTTTAAACAACTAAAAACAAAGTATTTTTACAAAAGCTTTCTTAAACATGTTTTTAACTGATATAGTTTTGAAAGAACCGATTAAAATCACTTAGAATGTTCAAAGAAGTGTTTTTACAGCATTTTAATCGATACAACTTGTTTTTAATCGATTAAAACCATTTAGAACTCATTATGATCGATCAAAATACAAATATGACCGATCAGAATCAAATGTGATCGATCAGATTTTAATTATGAGCGATCAGAATTTTTTCAATCGATTAAAACACGTTTCAATCGATTAAAATCACTTAAAGGGTCAGGATGATCGATCAGAATCCAATTATGATCGATCAGAATCAAATGTGATCGATCAGATTTTAATTATAAGCGATCAGAATTGTTTCAATCGATTAAAACACGTTTCAATCGATTAAAATCACTTAAAGGGTCAGGATGATCGATCAGAATCCAATTATGACCGATCAGAATCAGTTATGATCGATCAGAATTTAGTTATGACCGATCAGAACTCTTTTAATCGATTAAATCTCCTTTCAATCGATTAAAACAACTTAGAAATTTTCTACACAGCGTTTTAATCGATTAAAACTTATTTTTTATCAGTTAAAATAACTTGAAAAGTTTTATGAGAAAGTTTTGCAGTATTTAAATAGATTGTTATGTCTCTAACCCCAAGGACCCAAAAGTTATGGGGACCTAAGTTTACTATGTTCTTGTTTTGTAGGAAACTTCCAAATCAAAGAAGTCTATGTGGTATCTTGATAGTGGATGCTCAAAACATATGACTGGAGATAAATCGAAATTTGTGAGTTTCAAAGCCAAAGAACAAGGATATGTGACTTATGGGGATAACAACAAAGGAAAGATTCTCGGAATTGGAAACATAGGTGGTGCAAACACATTGGAGATTAAGGATGTGCTTCTTGTTGATGGACTAAAGCATAACCTTCTTAGCATAAGCCAATTGTGTGACAAAGGATTCAAGATAAAACAGGTTATTACAAGGGCTTTAAAAAGATAATTTTGATCATCATCAAAAAGGGGGAGATTGTTGAACATTCAAGGACTTGATGTTGCAAATAATGATCATGAAGAATGTTGATTTTGATGATGATCCAAGAGCTTAAAGACTTAGAGTATTGAAGATTGAAGATTGATGATTTCTGTATTAAGAACAACCTTTTCCATACAAAAGTTAAATGTTGTGAGTGCCAGAGAACTGTTTGTTGCAAGGAAAGGGGGCTTTCTGAACCTGGTGTGGGCTAGAAGCGATAAGAATCACTAAGTGGAGTTCTTAGTGGATTGTGTGCTGTGCCGTCTCTGGGGAAAGCTGTTCTTCATCTCTTGGGGCTTTCTGAACCTGGTGTGGGCTAGAAGCGA